AAATTTCAATGAGTACTTTCAGGGGGTCCTTGGAAAAAGACTAGTGGAAGGAATAAACTGGGCTGGAAATCATGTATGTTCGGTCATGTTAATTTTGAGATGCCTATCAGGCGATCCAAGTGGAGATAGATGTGAGGTAGGAAGCTGCAGACCTAAAAGGGGAGGTCAGTGATGTGGTCTAGGCTGAAGATATAAATTTGTATTTGGCTTGTGGAAGGTAATTAAAGCCAGGACTGCGATGAGATCGCCAGGGTCAAGTGCACAGGACAAGCAGCTGAGACTAAGCCAAAAGGGAAGGAAGAAAACCAGAAGTGTGTGGCATTATGAAAAAGAGCATTTATATAATGCATAGCTTAAAAACTAATTAAACGCTGACAAATTATACTATATATAACAATAAAATAATCTCACAAATTACACAAGTCATATTTTAAACTAATTAAGGAAAGCTAATAAATTTTGGGTTGATGGTAATGTAAAAAGAATATATACTTTATGACTTTATACATTTTTGGTTTTGCACCTGTCATTTACCATTCAATAATTCAAACACAAGAGTAGCCAAAACTCCAGAATAATTCAACTTGTATAATAGTGAAATCACATCTTAGAACTCTACTTGATTGCATTTAGAATTCAAAAACAGGAAGTAAAAAGGACAGGAAAGACAAATAACCTTTGACTTTCTACTGCTCATTACATTAGGCACTTTAGTTTATCTTACTTAAACTGCATCAAGATCCTTTCCAGGTGGGAATTAATGTCTCTATTTGTATACAAAAAAGCTAAGATTCAGTTTAACTTCCTTACTTGCCCAAGGGTCTTAGAGGCGGCAGTGCTAGGGCTGAGCTTCAGCCAGGTTTGAAAAGGCTGTGCTCTACCCCTGCTGAAATGAGGCAGTTTACCACGAAAGCTGATGTCTCTTCAACCGCAGTTTCCCCAATTCAAACAGGATATACCAGTGGTTCCCACCCTTTTGTGGCCATGCCCCACCTACGCAAGAGAAAGGCTGAAGGGGATGCTAAAGGAGATAAAGCCAAGGTGAAGGACGAACCACAGAGAAGATCCGCCAGGTTATCAGCTCAACCTGCTCCTCCACAGCCAGAGCCCAAGCCTAAAAAGGCCCCTGCGAAGAAGGGAGAGGAGGTACCAAAAGGGAAAAGGGGAAGCAGATGCTGGCAAAGATGGGAATAACCCGCAGGAAATGGAGATGCCAAGCAGACCAGGCACAGAAAGCTGCAGGTGCGGGAGGTGTCAAGTGAAGTGTGTGCATTTTCTATAACTGTGTAGTTCTGGTGACTGTACAGTTTGAAATACTATTTTTTATCAAGTTTTATAAAAATGAAAAAAAAAAGTGAACTATTCCTGTGAAGGAAGCCTAAAAGGCCATTAACTTGGTCTAAACCACCTTCCAAAGAACATGGCATGCATGAAAGAGAAGAATGAAAGGACAGTTGAAGTACTGAGGAAGAAATCACTAAGAAATTGTTAAAAAAATAATAATATGAAGTGATATGAAAAAATAGCAAGTAAAGTTTCAAAACATAATAGAGAACTGAAATGCATAAATGTCACAATATATATTTATATACTGTAGATGAGGCCCCTAGAACCACAAGAAATGCAAAAAATTCACTGTTAATAACTCAGTCTCGAATTCCCCCTTGTGGGGCGTGTGCCCACACTGGGAACCACTGCAATATATCATGATTTATTATTATAGCACACAATCTGTATCATGTGTATCTCTAGACATCCAGATAGGAAAACAAACTGTTCCTTATTCGAAACATTGTTAATGTGGAGCCCCAAGAATTTTATCAGGGAAATGGGAAGGGGAGGCGCTTAGTTAGATAAAACTCCAGTCAAGCATTTTCCTCCCTTCCTTCTCTTCCTCCCTCCCTCCCTCCTTCCTTTCCTTCCTCCCTCCTTACTTCCTTCCACATGTGCCTGGTTACCTCCTGCATGTGCCCTAGACTGGGAAGCAAACCCTCAACCCTTTGGTGTGCGGGCTGGCGCTCTAACCACTGAGCCCAATGGCCAAGGCAAGCATCATCCTTTAAAATCCTTTCAGGTTTTAGGAAGACACTTGAGAGCCTTTGGGAGGCTAGAAGTATTGTCTGCTAAGAGCACCATTTTAACATCTACGCAAAGGTTCTATTTAAATGGTTTCTTCTCTTTTATTCTGGCAAATACATGAATTCACACAAAATTTTATTTGAATGGCTTTTCACTTCATCATAACGATGGTTAATAAGTTAGGGGCTGAGTTCAAGTTAGTGCTGAGAGGAGAAGGGACTGGCGATTTTTTTTTTAAAGTAAAACCTTTACTGTAGCAAAAATTGATAAGCCTCTTATAAACGATCAAGATAAAAGCTATCCTATTTTTAATTTTCAAATTGAAATTATAGATGGCTATGTGTACTAAATCATATTTCATGATCTTGAATCTTTGAACAATTCATATTTTCTCTTCGTGTTTCTGAAATTCCAGCAGATTTTTAATCAATTAAATAGCCGGGCTAAACCCCTCAATTATTTTCAAAGCAATCTGTTGTAGAATAACAAACATCTAATGCACACAGTTTTATTAATAAATAAAGAAAGCAGCTGGATTTGATAGCCATTTCACAATCTTTTGTTTTCATCCTACCACTTTTAGATTTTGCATGGTTTCAGGAAGTTGGCACAGAAAAGTATGTTTCCTAAACTGAATGTAGTGATTTGTAAAGGAGGGGGAGAAAGAAAAAAAAAAAAAAAAAACCAGGTTGACAATGATGCAAGAAATTTCCATTTTGCGGTTATGTAATCCTGCCTACTACATAACAAAGAGAATTCACTGGAAAACCCATTTGAATAATGCCTTCACTCCATGCCACTGTATCTGACCATACCAAGTCTGTCTTGCCCCTGAACCTCAAAATCCAGACTTAACACAGCCCCATTCATTTGATCCTAGTGCTCCAATTAGATCTAAGCTCACAGAAGCAGGAGCACAGCGTAGTCTAAGATGAGAAACAAGCCTAGAAATACCAGTTATCAAGCTTTGTTC